AATTTGGCCATTACAATTGATTACAATTAATTGCAATTAATTGCAATTTATTCAAATGAATTTCTATAAATAATCAATATTGCATCAGTTATCATTAACAAAATTTCCTACGCTGATAATCATTGATATTACTGTTATAAATTTTATTTACTATCACTATAACAATCATAACAGTAATTAATACCAACAATAACAACAACAACTACAACAACTACTACTAATAATACTATTACTACTATTACTGCTACCATTAGTACTGCTACTACTGCTACAACTACTATTATTACTACTACAATAATCATTATTGATAATTCTATGATATAATATTTTTTTGTTAAATTATTGCTGTCTTTTTTTTTGTCTAAAAATAAAAGACAAAGAAAAGCAGACTGATTTCAACAAATTTTTATCAAAATTTGCAGAATTGGAAAAAAAGAATTTTTTTTTTTTTTATTTATTCCTGCAAATCATAAATGCGACGATTCAAAGATTTATGTTCATCATTATACGAATATTTGAATAATTTATTCCATGCAGCACCAGGTTTGTTCATACCTTCATATACATTTATATATATGCATATATCCTTTTCTTTTCCCTTTTTTTTTTTGATTCCAAATTTCCTTTTCTTTTTAAAAAAAATTTGAAATGACGAATTTAAAATTTTCATTAAAATTTAACATTTCATTTGTACCGATGATGCTTACACTTATTAATCATCAATTTTGAAGCAAAATGTTTCAATAAAATGTTTGCGTAAAAAAAAAATACCATAATATGCTAAGGAATAATAAATCAAATATAATAAAAATTATAATATGCAAATTAGTATTACAAGATGAGTATTAATAAGGGTATTTTACAATGATTCCATTGTGATTCCTTCCTATCAATACTATCATAATTCCTTCCCATCAATACTATCATGATTCCTTCCTATCAACACTATCATAATTCCTTCCCATCAATACTATCATGATTCCTTACCTATCAATACTATCATAATTCCTTCCCATCAATACT